TCTAAAGGAAACACCACTGAGCAAGAGTTTCATTACCATGGAATTCTCTCTGAAATACCATTTATCACTGGTTAAAAACTTACCATCTTTTATTTCCTGAATATCTCTTGGTTGCACAAAGTCTGGTTTGACATTCTCAAACCACCAGAAGAGTTCAGCAATGAACACCATGACGTTAGGCTAAACCAGAAAAGAAATATGTAACACATCTCACGGTGACAAAATATCCACAATTTCCCTACCTTGCATCCTTTGCTCTGTTTCTTACCTTTAAAACCAAGGGAGCATAGAGCATGTCCTCCAGGGTGAGGTAAAAGCATTTGTTCAGGTATTCATTGGCAAACTCCCTCAGCAGCTGGATGTTGTAGAGGCTGTCTGCAATGGATGTCACCTCCTTCAGACAGATATCTGCCAGGGGGACAGAGGTGAGGAAGCTGTGGCACTGTCCCCCAAGGCACTAACCTTGCACCCACACTTCACACAGGAACCTCACTGACTGTACATCACTGAATATTTATTGGCTACCAGTGACATTTCTCTACCTGTTCAATACCAGAGGGACAGGAAAAGGAGGAATAAAACCACAGATAAAACAGCATCAGTTCTGCATTCATTTTGGAATCCACAGAGGATTCTGTCTATCACAGCAACAGAAGAGGTGAGAGGGCTGGACAGAACACAGAATGGCAAAATCCAAACGCAGTTTAACCCAGACATCTTGATTTGTATGTCACAAAAGGTAACCCCTAGGACTCAGGGCTGAAAACACTCAGGAGCTCTGCAAGGTACAACACCCCTGAGAGTTTAAAACCCCAATACAAAATGTTGATCTGTAGAAGTTAATGTGATCAGGACATTGAATTATTAAGGAAAACATCTTGTGGGAAAGAGAACTCCTGTTTGCAATGTCACTCATGAGTGACAACTGCTGCAGACTGGGAGAAACCATTTTTAAAACCTAGATTTTAAACTGGATTTTAAAATCTAGCTTTAAAAGATCAAGTTATGTTCTGCTGCAGAGAACATAAGAATTATCAGCTAACAGGAGTGGCCACGTGTTCCTTTTCAAGTTCAGCTATTTGAACAAAGAAAACGTCTAGGAAAGAGGAATTACATTATTAATTTGTAGCTCATAACATACAGCAAGTAATGAAACAAAATCAAAGAGATTACATTTTAAATACTCTGATGAAGATTCCATGTGACCCAACTCTACCTATTAGCTGTGCTGCATTTTTCATTGTTAAAGGATTTCTCATTCAGCTTTCAAAGCTTGAAGTATTTTATGACTTCTTTTTTTTCATCTAGAAACCTTTATTACCTACCATCTAGTTTCATTTGCTCTGGGCAATAATAGTGTATCACAGCTAGAAGAGCAGCACCATCACTACCATCCTTCATCAGATCTTCCAGCAGAGGGAAGTAAGGTAATTGCCTGCTGGAGAGATGGTCCCTTCGGTAACGCACCTACCGAGAGAAAACAAGTGTTCACACGGGGCTGAAGATGCAAAAAAAAAAAAAAAAAAAAAAAAGGGGCATTTTGTTAAGCATTGAAAACTCTTTTCGGTGGATCCTTCATAGCATTCTGCTCTAAGCCAAAACCAACCAAGTAGGTTGTGCTTTTCTCTCACAGAAGCCAAATCTGAGGAAGATGGTGCTTCCCTTTGAATCCCAGAATGGTTTGGGTTGGAAGGGACCTTAAAGGTTATCTAGTCCAACCCCCTGCCACGGGCAGGGACACCTTCCACTAGCCCAGGCTGCTCATCTCCCATTCAGTTCTCCTCATGTCTGGGAGCAATCTGTGCTGCTTCAGTCACACAGTTTAAGCCCAAATCCTTCCACACAGATGCATGAATGCAGCAGATCCAAGGAAAGAGACACAGAGAACTACATGAAAACATTGAAAGCTTGGGAAAAACCAAAACAAAACACAGCAAAATATAATCCAGATGAGCTGGTGATGCCTCATACGTTACCCACAGAACTGCTGTCATGTCCACAGACAGCAGAGTCCTCCCAGAGAGGTTCAGAAGAGGGATGTCTGCAGGCCAGTGTGCAACAGAGCTCATGCCAAAATAAAACACATGGCCTTTTCCAAAATGCCCAGCGAGAGCAGCAAGGAGGTCTTGACATCAATGGCAAAACTCTGCCAGACTGACTACAACTCAAAACCAAAGTCCCTGCAAACCACCTCCCCATCCTCAGGTGATCTGGAGCTGCTGGAGTCAGTCAGCTGGACAACAAATCTTGGCATTGCTTCTTGCAGTTTCTGCAAGAGAAGTTTCAGTGCTGCTATTCCTAAGCTCCACATGCTACTGGACTAGAAGGCTGTGTCTAACCTGAGCAGCAAAGCCATGGGATGAGCAGAAGCACAATACACTGCAGGGCCTGGCAAACACCTTTCAGTGCTGGGAAAAGATCCTTTTGACACTTAATACCACTTAGCATTTCTCCCACTGTCTTGCCTGACATGCAGATATACCAACCACGTACTTAACCATCAGAGGAAAGCTGGATTTTACCAATGGCACATTCCAAGCTACCCTGGGAAAGCTCTCTACACACACACACACACTCCTATGTGTCAACTTGGGATCGCACAGGCTGTGAAAAAATCTGTTCAGAGGAATGAACATCACTTGGAGGAGTAAGTTTAACTCTTTCATTTTGCACTAATAAAACCATGTTTAAGTCTCAGCTTAACTCAAAGCTCTCTCTGGATGCTAATGCTATTTTTCCTGTCCTTTTACCAGGTGCAAATTGGTTTTTTCCCCAGCCTGGAGCACTGCACAGCTATGGAATGGAAGGTGAATCATACTGTACCACACGAGCATACTCCACTGGCTCCAGCATGCAGTGAGATATGGCATGCAGCAGATCAGGCTTACACAGAGAGAAACAGTGAGACACACGATGGTGATTATTCAAAACAAGGAACAACTCAAAGGCATTAGCAACATCCATTATGCACTGGGAATGTGGTCATTATCCTGGCAAAATGAGTGTGCACACCAAGGCAAACTGGTTAGCTTCAAAGGGTCAGCACTTAGCCACTTAGAGTAAGCATATTAAAAAAAAAAAACACTTTAGAAATTCTTGTTAAACTTTAATTCCTCATGGATTTAAAGTGGATACAAATATTTCTTTTCCAATAGGCTTAAATGGAATTTAAACCAACTACAGTCAACAGTGAACAGAAATCTGTAAGAATTCCTTGTTTCTTTTAGCTTTGGTGGAAAACCCCACAAATTTCTCAAAGAGGGTTTCTATGGATTTAATTTAATTCCTTACTTTTTAACCATTCAGCCTTTCAAACTGAAGTTGTGAATTACTGTCTATATTCTAGGCTGAGTTTGTGGGTTGCTCCCCTCCTGCCCACTCAGTGCAGTAATGGTGCTACTGAAAGAACTCTGCACTAAAAAAAAAAACAAAACACAAAAGAAAAGAGAAATGCAGAAGTGACAGAACCTGACAACTACTTTGGAGACTGCAAAATTTGCCAGTAAAACCACTAAAATCTAATGGTACAGGACTAGCAGCCAAACAACCTCTATTTACTCCTTCCTTTAATTTCAGACATGTAAAGTTTTTCCTGTAGCACATAAATTTGGTTCCAACAAACAAAGGATTAAGAGGCAGGAGAGGGACTGAGCTGTCTGTGGGAAGCCAGAGAGCTCCTGGGGACAGGGGACTGCCTGATCACACCTGCCTTCTCCAAGGGCACTGCTCTTTGGAATGAGAACTGAGGCAGCAGCTCCTCTTCCCAGAAAGGAAATGAAAAACACCAACTCCAGCACGTGCAGGAGAAGGAAAGGGTATAAAAGCCAAGGAAAGCAAAGGAACAAAGGAAAATCTCTGCAAGCTGAAACAAACCTAGAAGACCCAGACAAAGAGTCTATCCTAAAGTACAGTTTTATTGGGGTTTTATACAGAGTGGAATTGATGCTCCATTTTCACACTGCAGCAAAAAGAAAAGCCTTTAGTTCCAATATGCCAAGTGGTTTCCCTCCCTCTGTGCCAGCTCAAGCTCACTGTCAGCACACAATCCCAGCAACTGTCCTGTCAGATCCAAACTGGTTTGTGCAATCTCCCAATCCCATCCAGTGAGCAACAGTGTTCTGGCTCCGACAGACTTACCAATCTGCACCGGAGCAGGTGCAGGAGCAGTGTAAGAGCATTATTTAAGCACAAACATCTGAGTATCTTAACTATGGATTCCAAGATTAAGCAGCCGCCTAAGCCGAGCAGCTTTGCTCTCACCTCAGTGCTGTGATCAATTGCCTCCTTACACCAAAACCACTCAAGGAAACCCTTTCAACTGGGAATTTCCTAGGGGTCTATTTGCTGCTACTCCATATCTCTGACTCCTGCACTGTGGGAGCAATCCTGGAATACTGTGATTATGCTGTATGCTGGACAGTATGCAAAGAGCATGTTATGAAAACGAAGCCTGATGACCCAAAAGCTCACACAGGTGTTTTTTCACACCAGCTAGGCAGCATTGCAATGGAAGCAAACACTCTGAAGGAGTTCAAAAAGCCATGATTTTGTGGATGACAACTGGTGGAAAAGTAGTTCACTTACAGGTACTAATTTCCAATACCATTTGGAAGGAGACTGCTCAGGAAGCAAGGAAAGGAACGTAGGAATAGGAAAGGAACATCAGCAATGCAAGTTAAAAGCAGTAATACTGAAATGCACTTCAGCAATCAACACTTTCATATTTTAGAGGGGTTGCAGCCTTGAAATTTAGACTTAAAGATACTAAAATGAGACCCCCGAGTCAAGAGAGTAATTAAAGAGATCCTTCAGACCACACATCAACTGGTTAATTAAGCAGCTCTTTAGCTCCTTATTGCTGAAGGATATTATTCTCCATCCAAGGCACCTAAAAACCTTTGTCACTAACACGAAAATTAAACAATTGTGCCTTGTTCATGTCATGCTTTGATCCCCTTTGCCCAACAATGCCAATCTGGGGAAAGAACACAGCAATTTCTCACCAGCTGGGAGCTCAGACATTAAGTCTTGAGAAAAATCTGACACTCTCCAGAAATGAAAGTGCAGTAGATTTTGCAGTATCAGTGCATTGTGATATAATTTCAAGGGGAAAAGCTGGAAAAAACTACAGACACACACATATAACATTTGAATGCCAAGAGTCTGCTTAGACAGAGCCTGAATAAGCCTCTGGATATACATCAGACAGATAACCCATGCAAAAAGAATATGCCCCAAGAGCTTTCATTCTGTGCTGTGAAAGCTGAGTCATATTTACCCATGGACAGTTGGAACAAGTCATTTTAAGTTGAGACAAGTTGGGACTTAAAGGAAAGTCAGAAGACACCAGTGGGCTTTGAGGGTAAGGAAGGCACAGAGACAAAACCTGCATGCACAGGATCTCAGGAGTTTTGGGGACTAGAGGCCACACACTCCTCTGACAAGGAAAATATCGATAACTAAATCCATTGATCATTAACACAATATCACAGCTGAAGACAGATTTGTTTTACCTTCTGATGCCCTGGACTTTCCATGAGCTGCTGTTTTAACTTAATCTCTTTCTCTGTTATCTCTCTCATTTTAAGGTTCACCTATAAGGGCAGAGCAAAGAAAACATATTAAAATACATCTGAATGTGTTTCCACAAGTCAAGTGCTGTTCCTCCTCCCATGACTGGTCAATTCATTCTACATTAAAAGGCCACAGAATAATGTGTTATGAGAGTTTCCTACTCTCTGTTAGCAGCAGCTCTAATCACAACGAGAATTCTCTTTGGAATGTGTTATCACTCAAAAGTGTTAACACAACTTTATGCTGCTCTTGGAAAAGTTTCAGTGCTTCTGCTAAATAGGTAAAAGCTAACCAGAATTAAGCCCATTCTTTTATTTAGGATGAAACAAAACTTCATCTAAAAAAAACAGCCCAAAAAACCACCTCATAGTAGCTTGTCTGAAAATAAATAACCCAATTTCTACAGTTTCCCTAACTTAGTTCTTAATTATCTTTATTTTACAATCTACCAGCTTTAATCATCCCTAAGGAAATGCAATTGCAAATGGGGAAAAAGATCACAGAAACGCACAGGTAAGGGAGGAGGAAGGAAGACACTCATCAGAACCTTCTTAAACATCTGAACAGTGACAAGGAGAGGCAGGGATGCTTTTCCCCAAGTCAGTTTTACCTTGTTAATCCAGAACACCATTGCATCCTCCAAATCATAGGGCAGTTCTTTTGAGGCACTGAATGTAGAGAAACGCTTGACACTGGTGACCACCTTCTCAATGCTGATCATTTCTACAGTATAGGCCATCATGAGGGCATCAATCATGCCCATGTGAGAGCTCTACGAGAAGAAAACACGGAGGGTTGGAAAACAAAACCCCTTAAAAAGATTCAATGTCCTAACTGTATTTAAAACTAAACCGTTCCTGAGGTTAACGACCTAGAAATTAAGAGCTCTTCACTCCGTTTCCTATTTTAAATAGCGTTAAATAAAAAGCAGATCATGAGGTGGATTAATTAAGCTAACCATTTTGATTGGTGCCGAGCCCAGATCAGAGTCAGACACAGGTGTATCATCGCTCTCCATGACGTAAATCCCCTTCCGAGACAGGGCCTGGATCACGGACTGGTGGCCCTGCAGAGCAGCCACCTGATCCCCCTTCAGGATGAGGCTGCAGACACGGCAGTACAGCTCACTGGACAGCAGCAGCTTGATCACAGGGGGCTTGATGTGCTCTTGCTCATACTGGTCGATGTAAAACGGGTCCTTCAGCTCCTCCGGGACATTGTCTGCAACAATGGAGCAAAGTTTCAACCAGCGGCACCAGCTACGAACAAATAGATTGCTGGGGATGATTAGTGTTCTGGTTTGATTTGGAATTAGGAGAGCTATTTAGTTAGAGCACAAGTTAGAATCACAGAATCATCAAGGTTGGAGGAGACTGCTAAGATCATCGAGGCCAACCATAAACCTGTCACTGCTGGAA